ACCATTCGTGACTGGGACTGTGAAGTTTCCTCTTCCTGCCATCCTCCCCTTTACTTGCGTCCCTCACTCAGTTAACTGACTTGCTCCAAAGCATTGCTAGAGACTTTCTCAGGAAAAGCCTGTCTTCACCTTACCTTTCCCTCTGTGTATGTACCAACCCACTCAAGGCTCCGCAGCCCTGTGAAGTGGATTAGGAACATGTTATGGTGTTTCTTTTTCAAAGACCATTGAAGTAAAAGTTTTTGTCTGATTCAGTTTCTACAGCTAGAGCACTCTTTGTCCCTGTTCATGTCCAAACCTCAGTAAGGACTAAATACAGATTTAATTTGTTGGGTAAATGAATGAGCAAACGAACAGAAGAGTAGCTGACAGGCAGTTTTCAGTGTGCCACATGTGATCCCAGAGCAGTGGGTCCTGGGCCTCGAGAAGGCACATGGTATTAAAGGGCAGTTCAGGTTCAGAAGTGGGAGGCATGGCCTGTGAACTCTGGCAGCAGTGCAGCACCAAGTGTAGGCCTCAGGAGGGGGCGGCACAGCATGGTCACTAAGTGGCTATCTAGTCATCTGCCTTTGGCCATGATGGCTATGTGCTTATGAATGACCAGAATAGCAGGGGAAACTGGACGTAGAAAGTAACTGTTCAGGAAAGAGAGAGAGACTTCTAAAAGCTTCATTAGACTGAAGTCTTAATCAAGTCAGGTTAAACAGGTCTAGTGTCCACCCTTTGTTTTTTTACCTTCTTGAGTAAGTCTGCCTCCTATTTTATTCTTTGGGATGAAATTTTTAAAAAAGAGGTTAAATTTTACCAGTAGCCATTTGCTGTCCAAACCTGTGACTACTCATCAAATGTTGTAGCAGCCAGGACAAACTGGTCTTTGTGATTATCTGTGCCATAGGAGTGGGAGGGCTTTTACCCATTCAGAATATTTTAATGTGAACAGATAATTTTTTTCCACCAAAACTTTTGCTTTTCACAAGTAGAAACAATAGATTAATACCTAACACTTCGTAGGCCCTGGGTATTTGGTAGGTTAAGAGAGCTTTTATTATTTAATTGTCCTTGTTGACTGATTGCATTTAGTTTGAATAATTTTCATGCTACTTGGCCCTTTCACACCTAGTTGTGAGGAAATATATGATGTGAAATGAAAAGATATTTGTAGAATATTTAAAAACCAGCCCAAACTGATTGGCTCTCTTATGTTGATTGTAAGTCCTTAGTGATGACAGCTTCTAGATACTAGTTGTGTTATGCTTTTAACTCACGTTATTCCTTAAGACGGTCTTTGCTTGCTAGTTCCTCTTATTTTCCTGTTGCCTTGACAGGTCCTTGATTCTTGGTGATTGAGGATTTCTCACTCAAAGCAAGAATCCCACAGAAAAAAGACCAGGACAAAGAGGCCAGAATCATTTTTATTTTCCAAAATGGACTTTGATACTCTCAAAAATTCACTTAGCTCACAAAAGTTAATCACCAGTATGCACAGGGCAAAATTTTTGTTCTTAAAGAATTGGTGCAACACAGCTGTCCCTCAGTATCAATGAGTGATTATTTCTAGGACCTCCTGCGGACATCAAAATCTGAGGATACTCAAGTCCCTTAAGCAAAAAAGTATATTTGCAGCCAGGTGTAGTGGCATATACCTGTAATCCCAGAGGCTCATGAGGCTGAGACAGGAGGATCACATGAAGTGCTAAGCAACTCAGTGAGACCCTGTCTCTAATAAAATACAAAATAGGACTGGGGATATGGCTCAGTGGTCAAGTGCCCCTGAGTTCAATCCCTGGTGCATATAATCTGTGCATTTCTCTGGTATAGTTTAAAGCATGTCTAGGTTACTTATAATACCTAATGTAATGTAAGTGCTATGTACATGTTACTGTTGGAGACATACAGACAAGGGAAAAGTCTGTGCATGTTCATTACAGATGGAGAGTTGTTTTTTTTTTTCCAAATGTTTCTGATCCACAATTGATTGAAGCCATGAGTGTGGATAAAGAGGGCTGATTGTATGTAAGAAAGTCAAGGATGTGGTCATGTCTGTCTCAACATACTGCTGTAGATACATCCCTCCCCAGACAGGAACACTAAAGGAAGCACCATCCCTCTCTGCAAGCTAATGAAAGGTATAAATGTTAGGTTGAAAATCAATTACCAGGAAAAGATATAAAATTTTTTATTTATTATTCTCCTACATATGCTGCATTTAACAAAATAAATCACTTCCCTGCCTTATTTTGACCTTCTCTTCAGAAAAATCATTCTTGTGAACTTGGACCCTGGGGTCCATGTGTGTGCTTACTCATTAAATCATTAACTTTCATGACTTAAGGCGTTGGCTAGACTTGAGCTCAGGAACCGAGTCCTGACACATTTCTTAAGTTATGTCCCAGCAGCAGCTGAGCCCTACTGCATCATGCTGCTGTCCCTCCAGTGTGGGCACAGGCTTCACTTTAAATTTAGCTTTCCTTATTGAAGCATAAATAGAAAGATATTAAATTTAGCTTGCCATATTGAAGCATAAATAGATATTTAATTTACCCACAAAACTTTCTTACTGTGAACACCTACGCTTGACCTTTGTAACACTAGCAGTATTATGTTGTTGCTACAAGTTGGTCATTTAGAACTCCCTAAAGAAAGATAATCCAAGTTAGAAACGAATTTGATTTAACAGTTCTGCATGTGATTTTGTACATAGAAGGAGCATGAGAAAGATTCCTGGTGACAAAGGTAAAACGCCATGTTGAGGCAGGCATGATGGCTCACGCCTATAATCCTAGCAGCTCAAGAGGCTGAGGCAGAAGGATCACGAGTTCAAAGGCAGCCTCAGCAAAAGTGAGGTGCTAAGCAATTCAATGAGACCCTGTCTCTAAACAAAATGCAAAATAGGGCTGGGGTATGGTTCAGAGGTCAAGTGCCCCGGAGCTCAATCCCGGGTACAGGTGCTCCACCCCCTGCCAAAAAAAAAAAAAAACCCACCAGGTTGTTAGTAACAGCTAAAGCTATTGAGTGTGTGCCATGTGCCAGGCCCTGCTGGAGAGGCTGTGTGTGTGTGTGTGTGTGTGTGTGTGTGTGTGTGTGTGTGTGTGTGAACCATCTGAGCCTCACATGAGCTCTGAGGGGGAATCCTGTTCTTAGCTCACCTTGGGGATGAGAAACCGAGTTGCAGAGGAATGAAGTGCCTTACTTAGGCCCCTTACTTAGGATGTGATGGAGCCTGAGAGCCTGAGCCCAACTCTTGGGCTCCCCTCTAGAAGCCAGGCCCTTGTCCATTGCAGCAGCTGCTTAGAACAGAAGTGTTGCCTGACTTTACAGACTTGGGAGTAGGTTCCACTATCACTTCCTGACTTTCACGTCCCCCACTCCCTTCCCACCCCCATGGCTGGCATTTTCACCAGCTCCCTGGCTTGTCCTCAGTCTTATTCCTGTTCATTATTCTCTTCATTGCCCTCCTGCTGCCCCCAGGATGCAGACTCCTGGGAATGTCCCACAGGCATGCTCCACAGATAGCTGTTCCCCTCTGGCTGCTCTCACACACACTATGTTCCCAGCCACACTGAGGTCAGCACCATCCCTCAGCAGTGCTTGCCACAACTCCTTTGTTGGGGGGACCCCTGTGGACTCTTCTGGTAACACCTGCTACCTGGTGGTGCTGCCTGGCCCTGAGCTAACCGTGTAGAGGATGCTTCTTCAGGAGGCCTTCTGTCTTGGTCTGTCTGGGCTGCCATAACAGAATGCCACAGATTGAGTAATCTGTAAAGAACAGAGATTTATGTCTCACAGTCCTGGAAGGCTGGGAAGCCTGAGGTCGAGGCGCTGTCATACAGCCAGTAGTCTGTTGAGGGCTGCATCCTCCACGGGGGAGGAACTCTGTGTCTTTGCAGGGTGAAAGGCAGAAGAGTGAGCTGGCCAAGTGCAGCTGATGGGCCTTAGTCCCATCCATGAGGGAGCGCCGTGGTCGCCTCACTCCTCTTATAGACCCCCACCTCTTAATACTATCACATTGGCCACCCCCAAAGTTTAGAGGGGACACATTTAAGCTACAACATCTTCTGTGCAGAGTGCTACTCTTTCATGCTTCTTAGAGGATCCCATGTCTCCCAGTGTTCTCAGCCTGTGCCTCAGCCACCCAACCACACTTACACCTACTTGTTTTCCTTGCCCTGCTTCAAGTGATGGGCTCTACACAGGGCACAACGGTGGCTGCCATGTCCATTCCTGTCTTCCTCACACCCTTTACAGTGTGTGGTAAACAGGAAGTGCTTAATAAATGTTTGGTGAATGAGTGCAACTTGCTATCTCAATTACCAAGTGACGACAAGCCTCAGGAATGTGTGCAATGAAGCTGGTGTGGGCTCACAGTGACAGACAGGCAGCTGCTGCTCCCTGCCGAGGTGCACTCCACCTGGTGGACAGACGCTTTGCTGTGCTCAGGCTCAGGGCTCCTCACTCAGCCTCCTCTGCTCTAGGTGCCACTGGTCTCTGGGCATATCTGTCTGTGCTTTCTCTTGCAGTGCTGGAGCTGCACAGGGAGCAGACAAGCAGTTGTCTGGATAAAGGACCCTCCCTGTGTTTGAGGTCGCCCTGGGCTGGGGACAGTCCCTTACAGATGGCAAGAATGGGTGTTTATTAACCCAAGTGGTATGCAGAGCCACCAATCCAAGAGAGTACATGCCACCTTCACAAAAAGGTCATGTGACCCCTCCATAGAGGAATTAGTCCTGCTCACTCCAGCCCCCCAAGGTGGAAGCGTGCAGCCATTATTCCAAGAACATGTAGCATGAGTAAACAGTTCGTCTATCATGGAGGCTGATGGACTCCCTGAGGCTACATCTGTCTGAGAAGAGCTTGCAATGCAGTCATAATAAATGACCCACTCACATTTTCACTTTACTTCCACCTTTCAGGAGCACGTTCTCTACAGAGAGCAAGATCAAGCTGCGTTTCAGTCAACCGTGGTTTCAACCTGTGCTGATTGTAATTTTTATCCATCATAGGTTTGAAGACATACCTGATATCGGGTCAGAGAGCCAAGGAGTCTCACTGCAGCTGTGCAGAGGCCTTGCTTTCTGGCTTTGAGGTCCTTGACGGCTCACGGGTGTCCTCAGGCCCTAGGGGACAGGGGACAGCATCGTCAGGGAGCGTCAGTGACTTGGCGCAGACTGTCAAAACCTTTGATAACCTTAAGGTTAGTTTTTTTTTTTCCTTCTTCTAAATCTTTATATTAATTTTACAGTAGAACACGTGAAATAATGAACGGCCTTTGGCAAAGGACTCAATGCCTTTTGATTTGATTTTCACGATTTTTAAACAGTATAAATAGTTAGCAGCATTTTGCATTTTTAATATCCTTGCTTTTTGACATTTTATGCACATCCATTTCCTTTCTGCATTGCATAAAGATGTTTTTTCACCTGAGTTATTAGTTATTTTCTTTTTCTGCGACTATGTTGTCTTTGGGGATTTCTAAAAACTATTGATAAATGACAGTACAGGTAATTTCCTTGCATTTTGCTCAGAGAGCTGGTTTCTGTTTTATTTCAGAGACTACTTTATCAAATATTCCTGTGACTCTTAAAATTCTGTGATTATCTTAAATTTTGTTGGTATAGGTGAATCTTGCATGTGGCTCACTGAAGAGAGTACATGCTGCTGAGAACATTATGGCATTTCAATGTAGAAAGAGAGGTCTCCGGGTGGCAGTCTAGAAGTGCCTGCTTCTGGACTGATGTTCTGTCATAATGAACTACCAGGAACTGATACACTTGACCTTGGGCCTATGAAGTCATTCTTATTTATGAGCTATTCCTCAGTTTTCACTTTGGATTTAGTTCCCCTACTAGTACATTCTTTTTATCTTTATAGTTTAAATATTTGCTGTTTCCATTTTTTAAAAGAGAGTGAGACAGTTATAACAGTTCTTCTTCACTATTTGGGCTCTCAGATAACAAAACGATGTTAGTTAGGATGATAGCCTGTTGTACCTGCTTTGAACCAGTATGTTTCTACTTATGCACATGATTAGCAGACTTGAAAGCTAGCTATTCGTCTTTGAGCTTAATGGTCTTCATAATGTAGCCATCCACTGCAGTGTCTGGGTTATCCTATTATGTTGGAAGCTGTCGTCCTATCATCCAGTTACTTCTGGTAATTATTGTGTTCAGGACTATTGACAGTGCTTTTATATTTTTCTCCTTGTGTGCTTCATTAATTTAATGCACTTTCTTGGTCCTAGCACTGTTGACATTTTGGACCTGATAATCCCATGTCATGGAGCTGTCCTGTCGCTGTCAGATGGCTAACACCATCTATGGCCTCTGGCTACTGGATGCCAGTAACACATTCTTCCTCCAGTTATATTAACCAAAAATGTCTCCAGACATTGCCCAGGTTCCCTGGGGAGGCAGAGCCAGCCCTGGGTGAGAACCATGGGGATGGCGGTATTAGACACCCTCTCTCCATGCTCTTTCTGCATATGTAGGGCAGTGTGTCTGAGCTTTCCCACATGCCTGCCCACTCTAGAGACACCCCCTCTCTTGGGCCAGTGCTTTGCAGTGTCAGACAGAGGAGCTTTCAGCTCACAGACTTACAGAGCCTGCAAGGGAGGAACATGAAAACATGACTTTCCAGAAGTGGTCTTATTGTGTGGGGAGAAATGGTTTCCTCCAGGCTTCAAACTGAGCTGCATTTAAGTAGAGAAATAGGGCTCAAAGCCCCAAATAAACAATGTGTTGAATTCTTCTCTCATCTTGGATTATGTGTATTGTGTTTCTCTCCACCAGAGGATGCAGTGGCTGAGTTCACCGTGTCACACACTTCCAGTTTTAGTGACAGCAATTCTATAATAAATTGCCTTATGAGGAATTTTTCTCACCCTGAAAGAATATTTCTTGTTCTAGTTTTAGACGTTTGAACCGGATGGGCAAAAACTATTCAGTATGTTCTGTTGCTATGCCTACATCTTGCAAATAATATAAATGTTATCTGACAATCTTGTGATCTATTAAGTTGACTGTAATACCAAAAGGAATTTGAGAAAAAAAATAAAAGATTTTTGTATCCCTTCCAGGAGGGAAAGATGAATTGGATCACAAAGTATAATTTCTGGGATATTTTAATGGTTTGGGCAGGATGATAGGATATCTGAGATGAGGGCTGTCCCAGAACATTGAAATAATTTGAATTCCAAGTTGGAGTGGAAAGAACAGGAAGAGATGAAATACCAAGTTCCCTGCAGCATGGCCACCCTGGGAAGTTCTACTCAGCATCCTATCTCCTATGGCTCTGAGAGAGCAGGTATCCATGCAGGTCATGAATCTCAGGTGCTGGGTAACTGAGTGAATTTTGTGTGCAACATGATCCTAAACTCTAGGGGGAAAAATTGAGTTCTGCTTCAGAAACAGTGGATTACAATTTGACCTCTAAGACCTTTCCTCATGCGAGGGGTATGGCACAGCAGAGATGGCAAATACCCATTGCTTGCTCCTTCGCTTTTTGGGTGGATTCATCCTGTGATCTGGTCAGTGCCTTGTGTGTGGTGCTGGTCTGCTGCCTTAGTGAGATGACCTGCACTCAGGTCAGCTCTGCCTAACCCTGCCTCCTCCCTCCAAGTCCTTCCCAGCATCTGTTGCTCCTCTTGTCAACAGGTTGCTTCTTTGCCTCTGCAGCTTCCTCATTTGAGAGAGTGGACTCCGTGTGAACTTCTGTCCCAGCTCCTGGTCAAGCTGGACTTGACTTCTGCACTAAACTGGGCAGAAAGGATTTCCACGTGGGGCTTTCTTTCTTTTTTCTTTTTTTTTTAAGAGAGAGAGAACTTTTTAAATATTTATTTATTTTAGTATTCGGTGGACACAATATCTTTTATTTTTATGTGGTGCTGAGGATCAAACCCAGCGCCTCATGCATGCAAGCAAGGGTGTTACCGCTTGAGCCACATCCCCAGCCCTCCATGTGGGGCTTTCTAATGCGCCTCTGGGCGGTGCAATCTTTTTTTTTTTTTTTTTAAT